AAGTTTTACCATTACATCGGGATAACAAATGGAGGACAAGTAAAGGTTCTAGCTATAGAATTGTTTCCGTTAAACTCAAAAGTATGATAGAATTAGAGAATTCCCATTCTGTAGCCCCTAATGAATTAATGGATAAAGGTGATGATCCTCGGGGACTGCCAATGTCACCACAAAGGGAAACAGCAAACATTATGTATCTCCTAATGGAAGTGCACGGTGTCATCTCTAGAGTGTTCCTGCCAATAGACAGATTAATAAGTAAACCTTAATCTGAACAAGCTTCAACCTGTTGAGGATTATGGATGCTGAGCGTCAGGTATATTGGGTTCATTTTTCCATTCTCTTACTGCCATATATGTTTGAGAATTTCTATGATAAAATCATGCCTTTAAATTTGGAAACCTTTCAATTTGAAAGGGAACAATTTTCACCCAATCGACTTATTGCTGTCGAGTCGATTCTGACTCATAGCAATTGTACATAGGTCCATAAAGAAATAGAAAAATGTAATCGAACAATACAAACTGAAACTGTAGCCCTCATCCAAGACACCCTCAAAATGTTCCAGAACCAGCCAGGTTTGCAGGCCCGTTACATCAAACGGTCAAAGAAAAACTACTCACCATACTATGTAAACTCTTCCAAACCACACTAAAGAATGGGAAATCACTCAACCACTTTAAAAGACTAGCTGTCCTTGATACAAACAACAGATAAGGCTACCCCAAGAAAAGAACACTTGGGTCAGGTTCACTGACATAGAGACAATTTTCCTAAATAACTTAATAGCAGATCCAATATAGCAGAGAACTAAATGAAGAAATAGGCTGTGCCCAAGGAACACAAAGATGATATCTTATTAAAAAATACTGTCAACTGGAAATCACTGTGCTAGCAGAAAAAGGAGGAAATGCATTTGGCCATGTTCAGGGGTAAAGAAAAGCCTTTGACAAAAATTTAATACTAGCTCTTGATAAATTTTAGCACACTAACATTAGAAGGGAATTTCCAATTCCTAAAATGAACTTCAACTCATGTACTTCGGAATGTTGTCAGGAGAGACCTATCCCTGGAGAAGGACATCATGCTTGGTAAAGAAGAGGGTCAGTGAAAAAGAGGAAGACCTTCAAAGAGATAGATTGACATAGTGACTGAAACAATGGGTTCAACCACAGCAATGATTGTGAGGATGGCACAGGACCCGGCAGTGTTTTGTTCTGTTGCACAGAGGGTCGCTATGAGTCAGAACTGACACAAGGGCACGTAATAATTTAATCTAATCTAATAATACAATATAATCTAATATATATAATATAAAATCAACATCAAATACACGTAAACGTGAGATACTAGAAGCATTTCTAATAAAGTCTGGAACAGGATACAGACGTGTAGGACCACCTGTACTGTTCAAACCTTATCCGAAATGCATAGCCAGTTCACAGCGGTACACAAGATACCAAAATAAATCAGAGGTAAGAAAAATGAAAAGAGAGAGAGAATAATGACAATAATATGATGCTCTTACTAAAAAATCCAAAGTAACTGGCTTACAAAATATTCAAAAGTATAAACAACTTCAGAAAGCTGGTGTGTAGAAAATCACTACAGCAAAATCAGGGGAAGAGTCACAAAATAAATACATAAAGAAAGAAATAATTAGAACAGGTAATGGAAAATATTCCAGGCACAACACCAACAACTTACAAAATATACCTAAAATGAAACTTCAGAAAAATGTACACTGTGTTTATAGGGGCAAACATAAAAATTTGCTGTTAGACTTAGGAAAAGTGAGACTCAAACAGAGCAGTATGCTATGTTTATTCATGGGGAAGAGAATACTGCAAAGATGTCAATGTTGTTGTTTGTTGCTGTTGAGTCAATTCTGACTCATGGCAACCCCATGCGTGCAGAGTAGAACTACTCCATAGGGTTTTCAAGGCTGTGACCTTTTGGAAGCAGACTTCCAGGCCTTTCTTCCAAGGCGCTTGTGGGGGAGTTTAAACCATCAGTCTTTCTGTGGTGAGTAGTCAAGCAATTAACCACATACACCACCCAGGGACTCCTAAAGATGTCAATACTCCTTCAATTATTTACAGATTTAGAGCCTTACCTGTCGCTGCCAAGCTGATAACCGATCTCGGGCTGCTGTTTTCCATGTTCAAAATTAACCCGGGGCGGGTGAGGGGGAAGGAAGGTATAAAGAAAGAACAATAGCAGTAACAACAGCAAATCAACAAAAATGTGAAAGCTCTAAGGGACACTAAGTCTGTGTTGAAATAGTATGAACCTGTATGTGTGCAGGTGGGGGCGTGCCCTAAAGTTGAGACAGGTCTCTATCCTGCATTTGAAGGCAGATGACAGAATCAGCTGGAGGAAAAGCTTTGTATTTCTGCCCTTGCTCCTTCCCAGTGGTGCTGGGGACAATGAATTTAGACTGCTCCACTGCTGGAATGTGAGGCAGCACCTTAGATGACATGTGGCATTACCATGGGGATAATATGAAGAGAGCACAAACCCTTGGGTTAGTTAAGACAGTATGACTTCAAAGATTGTGCTAATAACCATCTGAAACCTATTTTGTGAATGAGAACTGGCCTTTTTCATAATTATTTTAATCGCATATAGAGAATGGAGTAAAATCGAATAGCGAGTATCACAGGGATCACACATATTAAGGGTAGAAATTTGTTCCGGAAACTTTGGCGCACAGTCCTGATGTCAGCCAAAGAAGCTATCAGGTAAGGCTTCGCTTCCTTTCCCCTTGGGGATTGGAGAGTCTTGTTAGGGAGCAGGAAGGGAACAGCTGAAGACAGATCAGGGATGAGTTGGGGCACTGCCAGAAATCAGTATGAGATCCCTGAATGTGAACCCAGGGGCTGCACCCTCCAGAAGATAGGGGATCCCATAGAGCCAAAGGCTCCCGGGCCCCTCCGGGTGGCAGCCATCTTGGGGCGCCCCAGGCCGAAGTGGTCAGATGAGGTGTACACACCCTTCTACATCAGGAGTCTCAGGGAGTGGAGATCTTTGGTCTGAGAGGAGTGGCGAGAGGTCAGCAGAGGAGAGGCAGCCCGCCAACCAGCAAAAGTCAAGCTAAGATTCTGAGTGACGTTTCCATCCACTCCAGAAGAGAGGGGCCCACAGAGCCCCACCCCCTCAGAGCTCCACCCCCACAGAGACCCGCCCCCAAGGAGCTTCGCCCCTCCTGTCAGCCTTGGGAGGCCCCAGACATGGCTGTTAGGCTTAGGCTCCCCTTCTTTTGGACAAGGGGTGCGCAGGAAATGAGTGCCATTTTCTGAAGCTGGCTGCGTCAGCTCAGAGACGGAGAAGTCCCAGGCCATGCGAAAAGTCAAAAAAAGGCCCCCACGTGACTTCTGTGGAAATCACTTATCCCGCACAGCCAGGAAAAGAGGGAGATCCACAGAGCCCCACCCCTGTTGTCAGGCATGGTAGGGCCCAGGTGGGCGTGGCCGGAAGTGATGTGCAGACTTCCCCTGTTGGACAGATACTGTGAGGGGCGAGGCCTGGGTTTGAGGTGCAGCCTTTGTCCAGCAGAGGGAGGAGTTTCAGGACCTGTCAGGTGTCAAGGTGAGTATCCTGAGTTAGCACTGCTGGGCTACACTCCTGGGAACAGAAAAGACCCCACAGAGCCCCACTCCATACCACTTCTCTGTCAGCCCTTCTGCCCCCGGGTCCAAGAGTATGAAGGCCTTGGTCCGAGGCTGGTGGTCTCAGGCCAATAGATGGAGAAATTCAAGCCCTATATGGAGTCAAGGAGATTCCCGAGAAGACTCCATACCCTAGAACGGGGGCGGGTGGCAGGACCGTTCTATTGCAATCGCCCTGGGAGGCTTCGGACAGGATTCAAGTCTGAGATGCCCCCCTCCATTTTGTCTGCAGGAGTTCCCGGAGTTGGGGTCCTTGGTAAAGGGCTAGCCTTCTGTCAGCAGAGGGAGGATTTCCAGGCATTTCAGGAGTCAGGGTGAGGAACCGAAGGGCTGCGGAGGTCTCTCATCCCATACATGGGGGGCTCCTCCGAATCCCTCAGCCATCGGAAGCCCAGGAATAGATGTCAGGTGGACACGTGCCTCAGTTCCACTTTGGGAATCACAGAGAAAAAAGGGCTCTGGTTTGAGGGAGTGGTGACATGTCAGCAGAGGAATGAAACTTAGTCTTCTTTGGAGTCAAACGGAGGGGCTTGAGTGAGGACGGGCAGGTCTGTTCACCATAGGACCTCAACCTGTACTGTCAGCACTGGCGACCCCTGCCAGGGGTAGTGGGCTGATGTTACCCTTCACTTCCTTCTCGTGGGTTCCAGGGAGGTTTAAGGTGCTTACATCAGAGTAGCAAAGGGAAGGGAACTCAGGCCCTGCCAACAGCTGACACGATGGTCCTGAATGTGAACTGAGAGATCCCACTACGGAAGAACAGAAGAAGCCCCAGTGATGTCAGACCCAGTAAGCCATAGGCAGATCTATTGGACTATATGACCTAAGGCTCACTCTAACTTCCTCCGCAGGGTTCTCAAAAAAGTCAGCATGCCTCGTGGTCAAAAGAGTAAGCTCCGTGCCCGTGAGAAACGCCAACATGTCCGAGGTGAAACCCAGG